GAGTAACAAGGAATAAATACTCCACACTCCAACAGTGGAAACCATTCTGTTTGCTCTCAGACTAACACAGGCAATCACAAATTTAACTGAGTGGGAAATCCAACCGACATTCTGTCTTCACTCTGTGATGTTCTGCAACACGCTGAGTCACTGAGGATAAGCCCTGTTAAAGTTTTGATATATTTTTAAGTTCCTGAAGGCCCAACAGCTTAGAAGTACATGAATTACATAGACACTCCTTAAAAGTTCTATTTAATAGTTTAGCATTCCATTCTTTTCATACAACGGTTGTTGTAGAGTAATTCATGAGTAGTGAAACACTTTGGGAGATCCCAGCACGTTATAGAGCATTGGATTACACAATTTTTCCATTTTTAACAATAAAAGGATACAACTTTCATTAAGAAGCCATTTTACCAATTGTTTGGAAGCACGTAAAACATATGACATAATGATGCCTTTCAAGACATTTTACTTCACTTGTTTTTCTTCTTCAGCTAAAAGGTTTGTCAAACATAATTTCCATGCATTTTCTCCCTCAAATTGGTTGGTCGACAACAGAGATTTGAATGGCTCACTGTTCCCTTTCCGCTGAAGGACAGTAAAGGTCATTGCATAGCAGAACCAGGAGATTTCTCCACTGCATGTGCAGCCTGGGCAGAGTGCACATGTGGAACATGATTGAGGGTATCACTCAGTGAGCTTCGACTCTGTCCTCATCTGACACCCATACACTGGCAATTCTCCAAGCAAGGCTGGGGTAACTCAATATTGTTCTGAAGTAGGAACTCCGGCTAGTATTCCCAGCCCCCGGGCATTCCAACCAGTGTAATGCTCCTTCATCTATCCCATTACCAGACCAGCGGTGTCAACCCTTACTGAGTTACCAGGGAAAACTAAGCATTTCTGAAGCAGCAGGAAAATGTACAGTAAAAGATTGAGGAAAATGTTTTGAAAAATAATTTTAATTATAAACAATATCAAATTCAGTGAACAGACACTGTAGTAAGAAGGGGAGCTGCTGGAGTAAAACAGAAACACTAAATTACCCTGTAGCTGTTGTACAGAGACGACTACCAGTAATGATATTGATTTCTTTGTTCACCTTGGGATCCAAGAATCTGAAGATATTCAAGCATCGAATACTAGGGGCCTCATTAGGGAGATATTGCTACAGCTGGATTAAAATCTACACCAGTTTAGCCTGGATTAGTGGCTGAAGAAATGAACAAATTATTTTATATCCAATGAGGAAATTTACTTTAATTTTGAAGTTTTCACTGTTGTCTTAGCCAGGTACAGGCCTTTGTGAGCACTACATTTGACCCTGTGACTAAACCAACCTTCTCCATTCTCCTTCACAGACCAGCCTTTATTTTAGCTAAGTAAAAGAATGAAGCTATGATCCGTTTTGGGGCAGATTCCTTCGATTTTGAGTATGGATGGGTTCTCTGTGAATCTGCTTAAGTACAGATATTTTTAATCACCCAACTGAGATGTCTTATGACATACCTCTGGGACTTTGGTCCAGACTAGTATCACTACCATTGTCCTACAAAAGCCCCTCTGCTTCGCATATGCTTTTAGATATCTTGGGCAGGCAGAATTAAATGTCTTGGTTGGTATCAGAATTCTTAAGTGACGCTGCAGTTGGTGTTCTGGTTAAGATTCAATCCAGACAATAACCAGGTTATGTTGCCCACCAGGAACATTAATTATCTCATTTCAAAGCAAGCCCTGTGCCTGTGTGGCTACGAGTGTTCTAATAGTTCCAGGTATTAGTATCAGGAGCTGAAGCTTTCAATCTATCCATATTTAGATATATTGAAGGTTGCACAAATGGTCTTGAACACTTTCTAAATGACATTTAACGTTGCACAAAACTTAAACTTCTTGCAGTCAAGCCAAAGTAATGACAGACCATCCACTGTAAGTACGATTAATTCAGCTTCCTTTTAGGGACAGGGCAAAAACTTATAGCAGACCTGCACCAGCACTCGGTCTACATACAACCCAAAACCCATCATACTGAAACTTGAAAAGACACATTCAAAATACTTAGAAGAACAGACAGGGTAGATGTAGGTAAGCAGTTTCCCCTAGCTGGGAAGTCCAGAATCAGGGTCACAATTTAAAAATAAGGGAGATGCCACTTAAGTCTGAAAACAGGAGATTTTTGTTTTTACTCAGAGTGTTGTGAGTCTTCAGAATTCTGTATCAACGAGTACTGTGCAGGTTGAATGTTTGAGTGAATTTAAGGTAGAAATTGATAGATTTCTGATTACCCAGTGCCATAACAGGGTTGGGTAAAAGGTACTGAAGTTTATGAGCAGCCATGATCATATTGAATATCAGGCAGGCTCAAAAGATTTAAAAGATGCCTTTCAATAACATTCTGTGTTATTAAAATAGAAAAACACCCCAACATGCTTCATAGAAGTGGAGTGAAAGAATGAACACCAAGCTAAAGGAGACTTTAGGATGGTGGTCCAAAGTTTAGTTACAATGTGGGTTTTAATCAAGTTATTAAAAGGAGAAAAATGCGGCAAGGCTTTCATGATGAAATTGCAGAGTGTGGCAGCTGAAGACAAAGGTGGGGGAGCAGGATACATATGAGAACTAGGCAAAGGAGATTCCTTTTTAACCTTTGTCAACCTTTTTAACCTGTTCTTGGAGGTGTGGGTGGAGAGTTAATTCTCTTTCTTTAAGACAATTGTGCATTTAAATAATGCCACGTTAAATTTTCTTCAGAATACTCATCCGGTTACCATCTTCCATCTTTAGTACTTTATGGATGCTCTCAGGAATCTTTGGCAAACAAATTATTAAGCACTCTGCCCTGGAACGTATGCACGCACTTCATGTGCTTTGTACATTTTGTTCTTAGCAGATTAACAGACCAACAAAAGAGCCTTAGATGCAGAAAGTGGCTCAGATTCCAATCCATCAATACCCATGCTACAATCTATTTCTCATTTTCATCTCCCTAAAATGAGGCAATTTCTCACTGCGTACAATTCAATGACTTTTGAGAAACACGCCAACTAGTGCCATGTACAGAAAGGAGCAGCTTTCCTGTTGCCCCTAGCAAAAGCAGCTAATAAAGTAAATAAATCACAGACAGGCTGGCAGCTAGTAGTACTAGACCACCAGTTACAAACAAGCTACATTTTTCAGTACCTTTTTGGCATCCAAATGTGCTATTTAACATGAGTGAACAGAATGTGGTGTCATTTTGTTAAATGGTGCTGATCCAATTTTGCAACAGATCAGTCCTGTGATTAATCAGACACTCAGATCAATTCAACCACCATATAAAATAACATAACTTCCTGATTAGATGTGTTATAGGAATCTTACAATAACATACTGACATCATTTTGAACAAGCCTCAGCTTGTTAAGAGTGATTTTCTTTTCATCTAATACCTGTGCCAACTAGTCTGCTAACAAACTAAAAGCATTTCACTTTGTATTTTGTGACAATAATGTCACTAGTGTTCCACAGGACTGAATGTGAACACAGCCTGATCAGAAGCGCTCACAGTACTACTATTAACCAAATGAAACTGCTTTCAAAAAGTGTATTCATCAGAGATTGTGTGTTTTTCCATCAAAATGACTAAAGTACCTGGCTCAGATTTCAGCAGAAGTCGGAGACATACACAGTAGTTAATCTCACAAATGATGTGTTCTTAAATAACTTACTGCTTAAGTCATACATAGGAACAAAAAGCATATGAACCATGATGTTATATAAACATGTGGAATATCCTGGCACCGTAATGCTGAGGCATTCGCAACCTCTATCTAGACACATTTCTATTCAATTACTGGCACTACTGTGTCCAAATATCCAGAATCTGTCTCAGATCTTCCCTAGCACAGATGTAGACATGCTGTGAAATCTAGCTATCACTGCAGTAGCCTCCTTGTATCGAACTAAACCCAAAAAGACAGCTGCTACTCAGCTTTTGGTTTTAGTTTGACTAACCAGCAGAACTGAAAATCCCAAAGCAAATGAAAATCAATACTGTAATGAGAAACAAACTGATTGCTTCCACTTGCTAAATTTGTGCTTCAGACCCTGCATATCCTGAAACACAAGTACAAATTTTCAACAAATATTCACATGAGCGTTCATCACAAGAAGTCAGAAACCTACACAGTGGAGTTCAAACTTTGCATTCTTTAACTGTTTTTTCTACTTACTGCACTTTCAATGTGACTGCTCTTATTATTGATTTCATGATTAAGCAGATCACTGAAGACATTCCTTCTCCTCTACAACACAAACACCAACCCCCACCTCTGCTCCCTTGCCTTTGCCTCTGCTTTTGATTGTGGCTGTGCTTAAATTCTAAACAAAGATTAATTTGGCTGGCTAAATCCAAAACAAGTATTCCATCTCTGCATCTTGAACTCTGTCATCTGATAAGGCGGTTTACACAATATAAAAAGCAACAGGCAATGCCACTCTAATTGTAACAAGCTGGACGAGGACGTTCAATTTTAAAAGGGCTTTATGCTTAATGTGCAATGCTACATTGTTTTGCCTTTAAATAAACCAAAGTAAAAAGGAATATTGAAAATCTGTAAGGAGTGGAACTTGTAAGAGGCAGGGTTTTGCATGGATGTTTCACTTTCAGTATTTGACATACCACAAAGTATACAGTTTGTATCTCCACCTTCAATTATCTACAGCTTCCAGGCAGTTCAGCAATAAAAAGTGCAGATGGATTTTTTTTTGGGGGGGTGAAGTGCGGACATGCATTCAATTCTAAGTAAAATGGCAGAAGAATAACCAAATGCCTCTAAGTACCTTCCTACCTACCTTCCAAGTTTTATATTCGAAAAACCATTGTGAATGCCTGCAAAATCAAACTGCCTATCCTACAAAGAGCATCAACCCCTGGTTACTCACACATTCAAGCATACAGCAATAAATGCATAGAATATAACAAAAAAATCTTAAGTAGTAAAAATATACAGTTGACAAACCTTCCACAGCAGCAGCCCGGTCCAAATTCTTTGATACAAAGTCTATTCTAGCGTATGTGCTTGCATCTGAACCATTAATACTTCCTTTGGCTTGAGGAATTGATCGACATCGTACTAGTTTCTCGCATCTCGTCAAATCATCATCTATTAAATCTAAGGCAATGTAGTTCAGCCCATTCTGGAAACCAGTGGAGGTTTTGCGGCACATTGGGCTTCCTTGTTCCTCTTCAGCTTCGTCATTCTTTCTCAGAGAAACATTCTCAAATGAAGCAGAACTGTGTCTCTTGGGATCATGAGCAAATGAAGGCGAAACAGGTGTGACCGTAGTGGTGGAAGAGAACGTTTCTGAGCTATGACGCCTTCGCCCCTGGGGATCAGCGCGGATTACTTTTGCCCCTCGATTGGGATCTGGTGGCAGAGTTGGAAGCATGAAAACCTCAACCCCAGGCATCTGATCAATCAGGGATAGTCTTTTCACACCAGTGGTAGGGCTTGCCACTTGGATACTTTCATGTTTTGGTGAAACTGATAGTGGAGCTGTTGCAGCCATTCCAAATGTCATATCTGTATAATCAGTCTCAGCTTCCAAAGGGTTAGAGAGGCAAGATGTCCCAACCTGACCTTTAAGGTAAATATTGGCCGGATGGTTGATGCTAGAGCATGCAACCGACGATCCAGCTACTGAATCGAAGGAGCTGCAAGGAACAACTCCACTCTTTGGCGACTGAGAGTTGAGATCGAGGTTCATGTAGTCAGACACTGCTGACTTTCTCTGAGCACTACCACATTCCTTGGAAGATAAGGAACTTTGTAATGACACTGCAGGCAGGGAGTACACAAATTTGTTGTTGAAATCTATATTAATATATTCTCCAGGGCTCTTTGGTTCCGGTGGTAAAGGATGCTCATTTGTACTTGGTAATGTGCTGGCTCTCAACTTGTCCAGTGACAATCTAGTGGGTCTCATCGCTCTTCCTCTAGACACTGAACAACCTGTCTGACTTTGCCTCCCTGGTGAACGAGAAGCATGACCAACTGCACAAGATGTGCCAGACTTTGCACTGAACGTCGGTTCTTCAAGAATCACACTGCCAGGTGAATTCATCAGAACATAGTTATCGTTTTCACCATTTTTCTGACACTGGGGTTTGTAAGATCGGGGTAATGAGTAGAAGGAGTAGCTGGGTTTGGGAACATCGTCACTTACAGGGTTGAAAAAGTAGTCTGGAGGAGTCACTGATGCACAACAGTCAACAGGCGACATATTCATATATTCATCATGGTTAAACTTTCCCTCAGAACTTTCAACCGATAACTTTGACCCAGACCACATTTTCATGTATCCACTTGTATCAGGTGAGCAGCTCCCAGTCGGAGAAATGTTCTTATATCCATTTGCATTCAGTTGAGAATGTAATCGAGGATTAATGATCTGTTTTGGGGCAGAAATACTTTTGGGGCTCATTGGCATGTAGTCATCACTTTTGTTAGATGTGGGGGCTATTCCAGGCGTCATTGGCATGTAACCATCATCACCAAGGTTAGTGGACCCAGAGCTCCTTTGGGACCCTATTTCAACGTCACAGTAATCTTCTGGGTAAGGGTTGTAGGCCACTTTGGGGGAGGCAGTATGTGACAGACGTCCAGAGCTGCCCAGGCAGGTAGCTTTCATTAGAGTATACTCATCCAATGAAACCGAAGAAACCTGTGAGGTGGCTTTCTTTCGGCATGGAGTTGTTAAAGAGTAAGTTCTTTTCCTATAGCTTTTCTCCAGTTCTGTACTTTCATCCCGACTTGTCAGAAAACAGCTGGCATTAAACTGACCAGCAGTGTGCCTATCCATTAACATGTATCCATACAATTCAGTGCCTTCTGGGACAGGTGGTGTTTCAGTGAGGGACTCTGGCGTGTTGCTCCTGTTTCCCACATAGTGTCTCAAATCCCCCGGGCTGGAACCATACTCGTCAAAGGAAATAAAGCCGCCATCGCTCGGGGAACCTGAGACGGATGCGCTGCCACTAGATGGTCGTGGTATGGTGTCTGATGCAGATCCGTGCCCACTGCTGGATGACAGACTCACCGGGCTTGTGGCCGACGGGGGCGAGTGCGACATTGGCATGGACATTGACCGACTGTGGTGGAGGGAATGGTGCGGGATCACTCTGCAGTTTCTGGAGACGGTATTTGAGCGGCTAAAGTGTGTCCTCACCATGCTCGGGCTGATGGGGCTACCAGTGATAGACTCAGGCCGGCACATGGTACTGTCACCCTCACTAGCCGTCCTCATGCGACACGATGCCATCTTATTGGGTGGCAAAGGGGCGTTGACACTGTCAGTCCTGGACCTCCTGTGGAGGCCGGTCTGGCTGGGGGGCAGGTTGTTGAGGTGCCTTCTGCTGGGCACGCTGATGGGATTGGAACCCGACGATTGACTCTTGCTTCTGGGCCGGAACTCGCACAGCTCCTTCATCGCTTTCATCGCCTCCAGGATGGTTTCGTGGATGTGCTGCGCTACCACCGAGTCATCCACTTGCATCCACAGCTCGCCGGGCCCGGTGGATGCCGACCTGCCCACTTCGATGAAGAAGAAATTCTCCGAGTGCCCACAGCGGCGGATGTTCATGAGCTGCAGGTTGACGGAGGGCACCTGGGAGTTGAGTTTCACGAAGCCCATACTCTTACTGGAAAGGCACAGCATGTAAAATCCGGTGAGGTTTCTGGCTTGCCCCAAGCCTTTGGGCTTCAGGTTGACCTGCCACACCTCCTTGTAGAGGGCAGAGGCGGGGGTATACAGACCGTAACCCACCTCATCCTGCTGGAGGAGCTGGTCCTGGGTGAGCAGCTCAGTGAGAGCGTGAAACCAGCTCTCCTGCTCCTGCTCACTGTCCGCCGCCACCGCCAAATACTCGTCCTTCGTGTACAGGGCGATGAGGTATTTGTGTTTGGCGTCCGCTCTCTTGTTGATATTCAAGCAGCTCTCCAACGAGATGATCCTCTTCGCCGCAGACTTGTTCCTCCACTTCTTCTCGTTCTCGTAATACTCGAGCCGAGCCGGGCAGTCCCCGCTCCTCTCCCTCAACACGAAGAACCGCTTGTGCCCGTGTTTCTGCTTCTTCAAGTAGCCGCATTTCTTCACTTTGGTGAAGCACGGATGGCCCGCCTTGAGCACTGGCGGACTGGCCATCCTTTCTCCAACAACACCACCCGCTACAGATTCTGCTGCTTCTCCTCCTGTTCTCTGTGCTCCTCACTCACTCCCTCTCTCTCTCTCTGTGTGTGTGTGTGTGTGTGTGTGTCTCTCTGCCGGTACCAGAGTGGAAGTGGGAGCTGTAAATAACACACACACACACACACACACACAGACATTGGCTGCAGAGCAAAACAACATGTGACCTCCCTCCCCACACACACACACACACACGGCAGCGCTCTGCATAGTAAGGAAGGTGCTGGGAACAGCCACAGAGAAATAGGGGAAGAGGTGGGAAGTAGAGAGGGGAGAGAAAAGGGAGAACGGGGGAGAAAAGAAGGGAAGGGGAGAAATTGAGGAAGGGGGAAGGAGGGGATGAAGGAGAGGGGAAAAGGGGAAGGGGAGAGGGGAGGCGGGGGCAAAGGGGGAATGGGGAGGCGGGGGATGGGGAGGAGGAGTGGGGGGGAGGGGAGAGCAGGGAGAAGGTGGGGTGAAGAGGAGAGAGCAGGGAGAGGGGAAGGGATAGAGGGTTGGGGGGAAGAGGTAAGTGGAGGGGCGAGCAGGATAGGGAAAGGGAGAGGAAGAGGGGTGGAGGAGGGAGAGGGGGTTGGAAGAGGGGGAGAGGGAGAGGGTTGCAGGAGGAGAGGGAGTGTGGAGGGGAGGAGAGGAGAGGGAGGGGGAGGAAAAGGGGGAGGAGGAGATGGAAAAGAAAGGAGGGGGTGAAATGGAGCAAATGAGGGGGAAGGAAGAAAGGAAGGGGAAGTGGGAAAAAGAGAAACAGGAGGTGGGGGAAGAAGTGGAAGGGAGGAGAGAAGAGGGGATAGGGTGAAGGAAAAAGAGGGAGCAGAAATTAGGCAGGAGTGTAATAGGGGAAGGAGGAAGAAAAAGGGAGAAGAGGGAAGTGAAGGTGGGTGAAGGAAAAGAAGGGGAATACTAAGATGGGGAGGGGAAAGAGTGGGGGGGCGGAACAGTGGAGGGGATAAAGAAAAGACAAAATATAGGAAAGGGGTGGATGAGAGGATGGTAGGTAGGGCAGAGATGGAGAAGAGGAAATAATAATGAAGTTAAGGAAAACGAGTGTGGAAGTGATGTAGGAGGAGAATGGAAAATAAGGAAGAAGAGAGCAAGGAGAGAGAGGCAGAGTGAGTGGAGGAGAGGCAGAGGAAGAATGAAAATATAAGGGAAGGAAAGGAGGAGGGGTAGAGGAAAAGAGATAGTTGGGAGGGAGGGGAGGAACGGAGGAGAAAAGGAAAGGAAAAGAAGATTGAAGAGGAAGATGCGATAGAAGGGGAAGGTATGATAGTGGAAGATTGTGGGAGAGTGTAGAGAGGAGGATGTGATCTTTAGAAGGGAGAAGAGAAAGGGACAGACAGAGGGAGGAATGGTGGGGAGGTGATGAGAGGGAGGGACCGGAACAGGCTGGAGGAAAGAGTGAAGCATAAGAGAGAGTCGGGGAGGAGAGAAACCCAGAAGAGAAGAGGGAGGTAAAGGAGGAAAAGAAAGAATAGGGAGGGTGGCTAGAAGTGGACTTTGCACAAATATTCTATTGTGTAGCTGGCTTCTGGATAGAAAACAATAAAAGCATCCGCATAATAATTGAAATTCAAGGGGCAAATGGGGAGGGAGGAATTTGAACAATCATTACTAGAGAAGAAGTACCATTGAGATTGAGGAATGACATGTTATCTGGACAAGAGGACATGAATCCAGACTCTAGATTCTGGAAAGTTTCCAGCAGTATGGATAACCAAAAATGTAAATACAGGAAAGCAGGAAAATATAGGTTAGTTAGTGTGACTTCTGTGAGTAGGAAAATACTGAAATTAATTTATTCAGTGATCGCAGGACACTTAGAAAATCATAATAATCGAACAGAAACAACATGGTTTTATGAAAGATTAAATCACATTTGCCAAATTCATTAGTGTTCTTTGAAGATATAATGAGGAAAATAGATAAAGGGGAACCAATAAATTCAATTTATTTATTAGGATTTCCAAAAGGCATTTTAGAAGGTGAATGAGATTGCTGTTTGTAGGAGGCAATTGTCAGAAATTGGCCATGTTTTACTACACGGTATTCCACATGTCTTTGGCCCTGGGCGTAAAGAAACAAGAAATGAAACACAAAGACAGTGAAGTGACTTGAAAAACTTCTCAAGGGATGGTAGAGGCGACCAGACCACACAATACATATGCATCTATCCAGTTAAATTTGTCTCAACCATTTAACTCCTATGGGCAAATTGTATGACCATAAACAGAATTTACCACCTATCAAGCTGCGAGTTCCAGTATGTCAGGACATGAAACCACATTCCTTGGAAGTACGAATCCCATTAGAGCAAAATACAGCCACCAATTTGATAATGCTGATAGGCCTAAATCACCTTCATATGTTAATGAGATGCTCATGAATCCAGGATGTGGGATTGTTCCAAGGTGTAAGAAAGTATAATCTAGAGGGCGATGCATCTTCAGCCATCATTGTCACCAGTGTGCCTTTTGCACTACAAAAGAAAGGTATCTTTAGGGATGTGACAGTGATTTCTAAGGTAACTTCAGGTTGAATTGATCACCCACACACAGGAAGGCACTGCTCAAAGTGAACAACAGGGTAACTGCAGTTGGGAAGTTATAGGAATAACGTTTGTAAATATTGATTAACTTGAAGGGGGCTGGGGTCTACTGAGTAGTGAATCTTGACAATTTTCTTCACTCAAAAGGGAAGGCATAGGTTCCCCCACCTCCAGCAAATTTTAAAGAGAACCAAGACTGCATAAAAATATCAATAGATTGAGCAGTTAGACCACTGTCTTCCTGTGTCCCAAATGCAGCAGACACTGCTATGCTAGAGTGGGGCTTCTGAGCTTAATAGAGTTGAGCACCCATGGCACAAACCAGTCTTGAGATAGGAAGCTGCCACTTCAGGTGAAGCTTCCACTTTTGTAGAAACATTAGGAAAGAAAAATAAACATTATCAATGGACCAGATACTGAGGGGGTCTCCACTGATAGTTCAGACAGCAGCGTCTGGTCCCCAGCCTGGCAGTAAGAGCCTAGTTACCCCTGTTCTCAGCCTCCCGGGGTGGAGGTAGTGAGAGTCGCCCTGTTATTTTCACTAATACAACCAGTTCATTCCAATCAACAAACTCAATAAACAACAAAATCATTCGCTTATTTCACAATGGATAAATATTTCCGTGTTCCCAAAGATCCAGGCGCCAATTCAATTCTTTCCCTATTTTGTTTTCGGATTCTGTATGAACGCAGGAATATCAAGGTGGCTGTGAAGGAGCTGGTCGGCCTGGGAGGGAAGGTGAACCGCCTTTTAAAGTGAGTTGCTGTTGTGAGACAGGGAGCTCCTTGTTTATCACCAATGCGTCAGGCTGAGCTGACGATCAATAGCGTTACCATAGCTGCAAGCGCGAGCAGGACGCTGGCGGTGCACTTTCATCTCAGACGAGTAAACCTCCTGTAGTGAAACTCGGAACACAGTTACAACTTGCCCACTCTCTGTGATCAATCCTTATGTAGGTGTGTGCATAGATATAATGTGTGCATAAATGTGAAGGTATTTGTGTGTGCGTACACATGTCTGAATATATGTGAAGATTATATACATATGTGTATTTGTGTGCATATGTGAAGATTATAAATGTGTGTGTGTGAATTTATATACACAAAACCCCGTCACAGGTAACTGTGACGTTCACCAGCTCCCAGATAGAAAGCTGCAGTGTTACAGCTCAGTGGAGTTAACCCTTGTCACCAGCTGAGTCACCAGGAACACGACTCTACCATTTAGTATTCTAGTTGTACACAAATTACACAGGGCTTACTTTTTTATTGTGTTTTATTTTGCTGTACCTGCCTACACACTCAATAAATTATATAATGGTGATTAAATCACTGATTGAGACAAATCCGCCCCCTAGCATCGAGCTAAAGCCAGGGGCTTGTTGTTTCAAATGTGGAGAGGGGGCGGAGTTCACCTCAGCACTGAGGCGTTGGAGTAAAGTTATTGACGTCGTTGACTTTGGAAAGCAAGTGGTTTTGCAGGTTGTTTACCAGCTGGCAGGGTTTTTGCTTGGAGCAGATTCCTGTCCCCAGACCAGAACTATTATCGCAATCCCGTATCTAGTTAGACTCGCAGAGAGCACGGTTAATTTGTAATTGAATCGCACGATTTCAAAGAGAAAATGAAAACGCCTGTTTGAACACATACTTTCCTTATCCCTATCCCTGTTTACAGCTGGTGTTTGTGTGTGAAAACTCTGACGTGCGCGTTTAATGCTAATCCACACAGACCTCAGCAAAACCGAGTGATTCATTGCTGTATTTTTCCATTGCCGTTTTGTGATTTCAGGTTTAAATTGAATTAATTCTTCAGAACGATTGCGGATGCACTCCTTTTTTTCAAATTTCATACATAGCTAATCGCTCTTTGCTTCACTGAATGAGATTTGGGGTCAGTGTGCATGACCTTAAAACAGCATTATGGTAATAAGCGTTCTCTATTTTTGCTATAACCTTTAGTTCCGTTCTGACGATCGCTCAAACAGTCTTAATTGAATTACAAATAACAGATCGTCGTATCTAGCTCACTGTATCACACGTAAACGGATAAAAATCCTCATTATGAATAAGAATTGTTTCAGGTGATAACAGTCAATGTTCTAACACAATTAACATCTCCGTTAGAATAATCTTATATTTACATGCTTCGTTTAATTTTTTAAAAATAACTGATCAAATGCTCAATATTGATTTTTGATTTCATTATAAAATGTGTTCATTGTTTTCTCCAGCTTGTTTTAAGGATTGACATGGACTTTGCTATAATTTCAACAATGTCCTGTTAATGTGGTGTCCACAGACCTGTGAAGATGATTTGATAACATGCCCCACAACAGATTTTTGAGCAAAGTTAGAACTGGTAGGTTTGGAGCAAAGTATAGAACTCCAAAAGAGCATTGTCAAACTGGAGCAAATGGCCAAGCAGGAAACAGGTGAAGTTCAGTGTGGAGAAGTGTGAAGTGATTGGGATGTGCTGAAGCAGAGAGAACTAGGTGTATATGTGCATTAACCATTAAAGATGGCAGAACAGGTGCAGAGAACCATTAATAAAATATACATTATCTTAGATTTTATTGATAGAGCCAAAGCATTCAATAGGAGGGATCCAAACAAAT